TTGAAGAATGTGGGAAACTAAACAGTTGCTGGTCTCCAGTGACTTTCATATTTTTTTTCCTACTATTAAAGTCAGTGGGGACCAGCAACTGTTTGGTTACCGTCACTCTTCAAAATATCTTCTTTTGTGTTCAGCACAAGAATAAATAAAAATGAATACATGTTTGGTACAACATGACTGAGTAAATAATGACAGAATTTTTATTTTTGGGTGAACTATCCCTTTAATGACAATCGGCAGCATGTTTAGTACTGCCGCTTTAAGAGCTGCACACATCTGTTTTTCTCTCAACTGTTTACTTTCACTTTAGACATAATTAACTCTGTTTATATGTAAATCTTGTGTGTTTTTTGATAGTATTAGCGCAATCAGACGATAACTAAGATAACTAAGTAATCAGGTGCTGTTTGACCGGCCTTTTAGTATACACACGCTTCAGGTATACACGCTCTGAATAAGCACATGTTAGAACAGCACGCAAATGAAACGTTTAACCGGCAAGGCTTTAAAGCATGCAGAAATAATGTACTTTTGTGATTGCAAATAAATCTTGTGCGTTTAACTCTACCGAAGCAACATTTAATGTGAAGCTGGAGCTGGAGCCGCGAGACAATACAGCGCATTGCTTGAGGTAGATGTTGTATTTTGTTAGTAAATGTTTCATTATATTACTAGTGTTGCCTCCTTTGTTCACTATTACACTACTGCATATATTGCATCTGCCACCTAGTTTTGTAACGTGAGCCCACCCTTTCAAACATTTCACTCTTGCTGCCATGACTGATTGCACGCAAACACACCGCACATGTACATGGATATCACACGCACGTCGAGCAAACGTCGGCCACATTATTCAGTGAAGGGAAATGACAAGCAACAGCTTCTAATTCGTCGTTAACATTGAGGTATACAGAGATAAAACAACGCAAGTATCGATAACAGTTTCGTTTGTCCTGAAGCTTATCGGTATTCATGTATTAACCCAATTACGTACTGGTCCAAAAAAATACCGGTTCTCGGACCCAAGGTTAAGAGCGGCAAACTACTACTCTACGAATCGTTACAGGAAGTCAAACATCTAATATGGATATAGGCGCTGATCTGGTGTGTCAAACCTATTGAGATGGTTTATTTTTTTAAAGAGAGCCAAAAGAACGGTTGCTAAAGTGCATGCACAACCAATTAAAAAAATATGTTTGTATGACTAAATTAGTAAGAATCAAAGAAATTATTACTTTGATTCAGCAAAGATGCATTAAATTGATCAAACGAGACTGTAAAGACATTTATAATGTTACAAAAGATTTGTATTTCAAATAAATACTATAAATAAATGATTTACTCATCAAAGTATTCTGAAAAAATGTATTACAGTTTCCACAAAATTACACAACTGTTTTCAACATTGATAATAATTATAATAAGAAATGCTTCTTAAGCACCAAATCAGCATATTAGCATGATTTCTGAAGGATCATGTGACACTAAAGACTGGAGTAATGATGCTGAAAATTCAGCTTTAACATCACGGGAATAAATTACATTTTAAAGTACACTAAATTTAGAAAACTGTTATTTAAAAATGTAATAATATTTCACAATTCTACCCCCTTTCACTGTATTTTTGATCACATAAATGCAGGCCAATATTATTTAGTATCACTGAGACACTATTATAGTTTTTATCAATATTTTGAATTACTGTAGTTTTAGTTTTTTTTTTTTATGCTTATAGTTTTAGTTAACTATAATAACCCTGATGCAGGCTTGGTAAGAATAAAAGAGACTTCTTTCAAAAAACAATAAATTGTAGAGACCCCAAACTTTTGAATGGTAGTGCAAATGAATTATTAAAACAAAGTTTTCTATCTTACTCCTTTACAGACATTGTTTCATATCAAGTTCTAAATACAGCAATTCGAGTCATCTCTTGGAAAATATGAAGGCCAAGTACTACAATGATAAGCGTGAGCAGAGAAAATATTTTATAACTGTTTAAATCTAGACTTGATAAGCATTGACTGTACTTTCTTATACTTTGTAAACATAAATTGCAATTATGTAATTATATTAAATTATAAATCAACTGCAATTATGTAATCAACCAACTTTGCACATGTGGACAATCGTATATACACACAACTGATAAACAGCAATTAGCCATGAGAGGCTGAGATATTTCACCACAGGTTAGGATACGAAACAGACTGCAGCAAAAGCTCTTACCTGACATGTCTCGGTTGACCCCCAGAGCCAGACCGTCTTTGACCCACAGCACCATGCCATGGTATCCAGTAATAGAGCACGGCAGGGTCACGGGCTGCCCGGCCACGACCACCAGATCATGGGGCTGCTGGATAAACACAACAGAGCTTCCTAAAACAGAAAGGAGAGAGAGAAAGAATGAACAAGGGAGGTCACAATTATAAATCATCAAATACAATTTGTCAGAGCTGGCTGCCCCTGCCAGAGGATTTACAAAAAAACTTTTACTTGAGGATTACTATTATGGCTCTAGTAAATCTAGTCCAACTCCCAAAACCCACTTTGAAGAATAAATCTATAAATTTCAACTTTATGTCACTGGAATCCTTAATAAAGTGCAGTGACACACAGAAGTACGAGTAGGTGCCTCACAGTTAGGGAAGCTGAACATGACACTGCTGAGATCCACAAGACACAAGCATAAATCAGCTCGCGGCTCGCAGCCGAAGCTCCTCAAACTCTGCTTTCACTCTCGGAAACTCAGCTTAGCAGGCAAAATAACTTTCCCAACGACAAACTGCGTCAGTGCCGGATGACAGGCTCAGTGGTGCTCTGGAACGGCCGTTCGCAGACTGCTGTTCACCTTGAAGTCTAATAGAATGAGGTGCAAATGAAAAAGTGCCCTGAAGGTAAGCGGTCTTCAATACGGGAGGTGAAAAGTACGTCTTACCTTTCTCATTAAATTGCAGAGTGAGACAGACGGAGTTATTTTTTTCCGTTCCGGGAAGCAGATAAGAGCATCAATAGAAAGGGAATATGTATTGCTCTGAGAATATATTCACAGAAGATTCTCAGAGAAATAAACATCTCGTCCTTTCAACAGTCGCTTTCCCTCACCTTTTTTGGTCTTTTAATGTGAAAACAGTTGACACACCAGAGAAACGGAGGAGCCTTGTGCATCTCCTGAGACCACTTTGGTCGATTTTTGTCTTAAATTCAATAAAGTGCAGCTCTGCGAGGTGCATCTTTCATAAATAGTGCTTGGCCTTCCACTGATGTGGCAGGATTTCTGCGGGATGGTGCTGTAACACAGCTGAGATGCCAAGCATATTTTTCTCTCTGTACACTGTCGTCTAATTTTGCTGTTAGAAGTTAACACCAATACTCACACTTGATCTTAGTTCTGTTAAAGAATAAAAAAACATTAAAGCTTAGCTTTAAAACGTACTTCTTTTGTTCGCCTACCCATGTTGAAGAAGGGTGATTATAGCATAACCCACAGGATTTCTGCTCCTTTATAGCGCAAGAGACTTAACGGAGCTCTCAGTTACGTGTCATTTGATTTTCACCTTTGTTTCAGAGGTTTAGCCTGAAGTTACTTGGGAGAGATAAAAATAGACACAGCCAAGACACTTATTGTCACACATAGAGCTTCAAAATAAAGGTGGATGGCACAGTATTTCATGGGAAATGTTCTTAATGAAATGTGATTTTGGTGATTGTAGTTTGGGGTCAGAATTGTATTATTTTAAAAAAAAATTAAGAAATTAATACTTGGATGCATTAAATTGATCAAAAGTGACAGTAAAGACAATTATAATGTTACAAACGATTACAAATAAATGCTGTTCTTTTGACATTTCTATTCAGCAGAGAATTATAACGAATCAGCACAGCTGTTTTCAAAGATGATAATAATAAGAAATGTTTCTTGAGCACCATATCAGCATATTAGAATGATTTCTGAAGGATCATGAAGACTGGAGTAATGATGCTGAAAATTTAGCTTTGACATCACAGGAATAAATTACATTTTAAGAATATATTATTAAAAAAAACTATTTTAAAACTATTTTTAAAGTGCAGTAATATTTCACAATATTACAGTTTTTACTGTATTTTTGATCACATAAACAGAGCCTAGTCGACTTTCAAAAACATCAACCCCAAAATGTTGAACTGTAGTGTAATAGCACATATCAATGAAATAAAAAAATAAAAAATAAAAAAAT